GCGGCGGAGTCCAGTTGACTTGGTGCGTCGCCGCTGCCATCGGCGCGACCGCAGGGCCGGGCGACTTGAAAGACGGCGGCGTCGGTGCAGCGGGTTTGGCGGGTGCGTCCGAGTCCATGTTAAGCGTCTTCTGGGTCGTTCGAAGAGCACTCTTGGGCTTCGCGTCGTCCTTCGACGCGGCAAAGACGTCGGAGGACGCGGCCAGGGTCTTGGGCGGCGCGGGCGAGGCCGTGGCGGATGCGGGTGGCGCGGAGTTCTCGGACTTCGGGCGCTTACTCTTTAGCTCCATCACCCTATGTGAAGAAGAGATGTTGTTAGTAGTGCGAACAAGAGAGCCGGCCATACTTTTGGGCAAGTGCGGCATCCTTGTCTTTGATCGAGTTACGGACTTGACGCAAGGCGATGTTGGCTTCGTCTTGCCCAAGAGTCGCCAAGTGGGCCTTCAACGTTTGCCATGCAAACGCCTCACTGTCACTGAGGCCGGCTTCGTTCACCACCCAGTCGCCGTGCTCGTTTTTAGAGGATTTCAAGCCGAGCACCGCTTTGAGATTTGCTCGCGGAAAATCCTGGCCTTGAAAAGCAGCCGCGATGACCTCGGCCGCCGCGTCCCTCACCTCCGCCTTCCGCTTGCCCTTGCCGGGTGCCATCGAAATTCGCGAATGGCAAAGTGCGTCCCGTGGTGCAGATGCCACTTTTAGCGACTTCAAGTGAATTTTTATTCCGTGCACCTCAAGCGGCAGACCGGGCGGTATACATTGCGCCACAGTCGCGCGCAGCGACGCATGCCATTTAAATTCGGGTTGATGCGCGCACATCCGCGTGCCACGTTTAAAACAAACACCCATCAGCAGAGATGTGCGAGAATGATGGTCGCAGCATACAAACGCCAAGTATGAGCCGCGGAAAGGCAAGATCAATTTGCCACATTACAGGGGGCAGTGCCACTTTTAAGCCGTCGACACGGCAACTGCACGTCAGTGAGGTCGCGTCCCCCTCCATCTTATCTGAGAATCGGGAGGAACGATGGGCCACACCAACGAACGACCTTCGTGACGACGACGACGTGCTCACGACTACCATATCATCAGTAATCAAATGCATTGGCGCGCAATGGCGCCCTCGTCTGGGCTGCGCTATCCCCTACGGATGACCACGCTCCTGGCCCACACGGGCGTTCTTGCGTTACGAACTGCCAATCCAATGGTACGGATCTGCTTCTATTACAAGAGCAACGTTGACAATCGAGGGCGCGGTGGTGCGTTCAAGCGTTGGTCGAATTAACCCAGGCGACTCTTGGCGCTCGGCAGATCGATTTCAAATTCAAAGCCCAATCCCGGATACCGATGATAAGCCAATCATGCGAATCTGCAGCAAAATGGAGGCCAATTCTATAAGAGAGAACGCGATTCGGCCGACGTGTCTAGATAGTACAAACGGATGCTAGATATTTAAAATCGTCAAAATCGAAACAGCGGTCAACAGTGTATCGCAACCGACTGCTATTACATCAAGGGAACGTAGTGATATTACCTCGATCGTCCGCTGCGCTGCTACGCGTGCCATGTTGGCGCGACCTCACAAATCCGGATTTGAATCGAGCGAATGAGTACCGGTACAGTATCTTGGATCCATCCGGTTTTGAACCCAATATACGATAGCAATAGGGGCCACTAACTATAAAAAAATGTGATGTCGCCAACACATACCGATCAAGCGCGTTGCAAGAGTCCCGTATCGATCACGCTGCCTCTTTGGCGCTGCGGTGCTGTATGTCTACCAAGCTTGCTGGCGCGCGCATGGCGGCGTCATTGACGATACGATATGGGTGTTGCGTGCATGCCCCAAGAATCTCAACGAGTTGAAGCAGCCCTCGCGTACGAACGCACTCGCAGTGGGGCCGTACTTGATCGACAGCTTGGTACACGGGCATTGGAAGCTAGCCGCGACAAGTGTGTGCTTGCACAGAACCGCCATGATGTTCGAGGCCGTCACGACACACTCACGCTATCCTTTATCCACTCCTTGTCGGTCTTGCTGCTCGGGCATTGGTCGAAGGTGCGTGACAGGCAGTCCCATGCATTCATGCAGGATCGAGCGAGTCCAAAGGACGATGCGACGTGCCAACCATGGCGGTGAATCACAAACGTGGTGGCGTTGAGTGTCTCCGTTGAACAGATCTTCCACATCGCGAGCGACGTCAATGCCGAGGATCTTGGCAGCTGTGCTTCCATCTCCTGCTGCCACGTACAAGATCGCTGTGTCTGGGGCAAGGGTTCTCGAAATCGGCCAATCAAAAGCGTTTTTCAGGTGGTCCATTGTATATCTCTTTTTTGTATGCAGACCAGGCAGTTTATTTTA